CTCCACTGACTAGAAGGCATTGGAAGGGCAAAACCACAGCCGACCATGGAGACTTGTATGAAAAGAAGACAGAATAAAGCTCAAACACTCTTATACTGAATACCTGTTAAGAGACCATTTTAGGTATATTGTTACATGTTCTTAAAATTAATTGTACCTGTCCCTTTTGATGTGAAAATTTAAAATTATCTGTGTGTGTCTCACATAACTCTGTGGCAGAGCTGGCTTTAGTCTCACCGATATCCTTTAAAAACAAAACAGACAGACAGACAGACAGACAGACAGACAGACAACTCCACTTCTTTCCAGTGTAGTCCCCCCTGTCTTCTGCTCCTGTATCTTCTCAGAGCAGCCCTTTCCTTCTTCTTCAAGCCCTCTTTCCCTCTGTCGTGCTGACTCGTTCCTCCCCTGTTAGTGTGTCTGATGATGGATGGAGGCGTGAGAAGGGGGAACAAGTGTCTGCCCTCTCAGGCTGCAGGTTTTTGGATACCGTAAGCCAGATTCATATGGCTGAGGGACCTGGCTTATCCAGATGTTCATGGGAATTGATGTTTTTGGCAAATCTTCTCTGATGGACTTGGAGTCAAGCAAGAATGAATTTTACTTTCACATCACTTTCCAAATATGCAGGTTACAAAGCTGTGCAGACTGCACATTGTCTACAAACTTCAGCATGAGATAACTTTAGCCAAACTACTGTTGTCTCTACTTTCTCCTCGAGAGTCAAATTCCCCAGGGCCCTACACTTCCATCTCCTTTGAGCTGGGCATTTACTTCTTGAATTACACAATTACTATGTAAATTTCAAACGAAATCATTAGATTGCTATCTGTTGATTTAAAAATTCCTGACCATTGCTCATGTTCCTCACACTGGTTTTGTTCTACTAATATTCTTGTTCTTATTATTTGCTTTATGGTTAGTATCCATTGTTCATTGTTGAGCCAAGTAGTGTGAAATAATTACACTTGCTTGCATAACTTTTTATCTCCCTGGAGATGATCACTGCCCCTTTATGGCTGCCTAGATTCTTACGGTATTTATGCAGATTCTTACGGAAGTCTCTATCAATGTGTAAAATTCCTTCAAGTACTATTTCCGTCCTCCTTTTCCCAGACAATCTTTCAGATACCCCAGCCTGTTTGGGGTCCTGAGCAGCTGTATGCTTGGGGAGATCCCACCTCTTCAGAGTATGGTCTCCTGTTTCGTTGTTTTTCTTTCTAAATATGTGTCAGCATTCCTTGCAGAAGGAGCAAAGAAGGGTAATGTTTGGACCAGGCATGCCTATAATCCTAGCACTCTGCAGAGGATCAGAAGTTCAAGGCCATCCTTGGACTCATTAAGTTCTAGGCTAGTGGGTCTCAACTTTCCAAACGCTGCGACCCTTTAGTACAGTCCCCATGTTGTGGTGACCTTGTTGCTACTTCACAGCGGTAGTTCTGCGCCTGTGGTGGACGTCATGTAAATACCTGATATGCAGCTGGTCTTAGGCGACCACCAAAGGGGTCTCATGCACAGGTTTAGAACTACTCTTCTAGACAATGAGGTCACAGACCCGCCAACTGCCTCTCTCTGCGCGTCAGTCTGTCCCTCAGGACAAAGGACTGACAGGCACCTTGAGAGCATACAGCTCTCCACAGAGTATGTCTGTCTGTGTGTGTGTGTGGGGGGGCACAGGCCAAGTCTTCTTCCCTCAGCTGTCCAGGTCCAAGGCAAGTTCAACCAGTGCCTTCCTGCCTTCTAACTTCTGGCAAGTAGGCCAGGCTAGACCATGTGGTATGGAGGCTGTGCACCCACCCCTTTGAATACCTCTAAGAGTCAGAGATGCTCTTTGTTCTCTGGATTGGAAGGGCTTCAAGGCCCCGTGAGGTCGCTATGCAGTGATGCTGTGTCTCTTTCCATGAGCTCCCATTTCAAGGCTCATTCATGGCCCTTGTGGTTGCAAGGCTCTCTTTCCCAGTAAAGCTCACCTTCATGAAGGGCAGTTTCATGTCAGCTCATTTCTGTGAACCTCTTTAATTTACGAGAGTTGAAATTAGTTTTACCTGTCTCTTTTGGTATGAAAATTTAAAATTACCTGTGTGTGTCTCACATAACTCTATGGCGGAGCTGGCTTTAGTCTCACCAATATCTGTTAAAAGCAACACCATTTCTTTTCTTTCCAACAGAGGCTAGCCTGGGCTACATGAGACTCTGTCAACAAAGACAAACAAACTCTGAAATGGATATTTTTCTCTCCTCCCATTGGTTAGTTTTGGTTGATGGTTTGTTTAGAAACAGAATTCTGGATATTGGGAGTGGGAGGAAGAACTGTGGCTGGAATGTAAAATGAAATGAAAAAAAGAATTCTAGATATTGTGTCCAATTCCTGCCCCCAATATCTGGAAGGCACATGCCCTATAATCTTTAATTGTCTAATATCTAATGATATCATATCATAATAGATTTGAAAATACATATGGTGTTCTAACTTGTGATCATTTGTAGATCTGTGTACTTTCCTTCTAGAGGGTTTTAGAAGTATCTCCCTTCTTTATTGTTTACACATTTATCATATGTCCTGGTGCGTGGTTCTTGCCACACAGCGTATCCTGTTGGCTGTTGAGACTACCTTTCGTATCTGGAAAAACAGATTGTGTCTGGGAAGTATTTTTTTTAAAAATCCTCCCCCCATAATTCTCTCCTTAGCATCTCCTCCGTCCTCTCCTCAGCATCCCCTCCATCCTCTCCTCATCCTCCCCTCCGTCCTCTCCTCAGCATCTCCTCCGTCCTCTCCTCAGCATCTCCTCCGTCCTCTCCTCAGCATCTCCTCCGTCCTCTCCTCAGCATCTCCTCCGTCCTCTCCTCCATCCTCCCCTCCGTCCTCTCCTCAGCATCTCCTCCATCCTCTCCTCCATCCTCCCCTCCGTCCTCTCCTCAGCATCTCCTCCACCTCTCCCTTCTTCAGAGTTTGGTCTCATCTGCATCCTGGGGAGTGTCCTCAGCTTGCCTTCCAGCCCTCCTATTGAACTCTAGATTTTACCTTGTGATTTTAATTTCCAAGCGCTCTCCATCTTTGTCATTGTTCCTTTTGAGAGCACTTCCTGTTGTTTCACAGATTTCATATCTTATTTTGAAAAAGATATTGAATTTTTTTCTGGTCCCTGTGTTATCTCTCTTCTCTCTTTTTTTTTCTTTCCTTTTCTCTCTTTCTCATATGAAAGTCGGTATGTTCTCTCTCTTCACTTTGTAGAGTTTCCTGATTGTGTCAGAGCAGGTCACTAAATGCTGTAGAAATAACATATAGAAATAATTTGACAAGTGGGCTTCAGGGTGCAGAGACTGGTGAAGAACTAGACATTTTATTGGAGTGTTCTGAACCACAAGCACCCATAGAGCACTTCTGGAACCAGCGACTTTCTTAGACGAAGCAGCCCCAGTTCCCAGCCCGCCATGCCTGTATAGAATGCAGAACCATGTCACATTGCCGGAGGCAGAGGAAAGTAGTGGTCCCAAAGTCCCATAGACTTCGGGATGGATTTTCGTTTGACTCTGTTTGGCTTTGTTTGAACCCCAGCCTTCTGTGTCTAGTGTCCCCTCCCCCATGCACTGGGGCCTTTCTGGGAGGATGGGAAATGGGAGGAGCTGTGCACTGTAGCCCAGCTGTCAGACCTAGCATTCTCTCCCTAGGTTTAACAGTCCCATGCTGTCTCCAGCCCACCTTCCAAAGTAGCTGCTGCCTCCATTCTTGACCCTTTAGCCTCATAGGGCTTCTGCCCCCTCGCTTGTGACTCACCCTGGTCCTTTGGTAGGTGGTGGGTTTCTGATTTCTCACTTCTGCTAATTTCTCCATCTGCTTTCCAAACTCTGCTGTCTGCTGGTGTCATCTCTCCTGTTCCCTCTCTCCCTGTCTTTTTCTTATCCCTTCACTCTAATGTTAGTGGGGCTGGGGAAGAGGCAGATGCGAATTAAATCTACCAGGCTCTTGTGTGTTTGTTTTTGGTTTTTTTGAGAGTGGGTTTCTCTGTGTAATAGCCCTGGCTGTCCTGGAACTCTCTTTGTAGATCAGGCTGGCCTCAAACTCAGAGAACCCCTACCTCTGCTCGGGTTAAAGGTGTGTGCCACCATCACCTGGCTGAACCTACCAGTTTTAAGAGGAATTCCTCTGGGGATCCTTCTACAGTGTAGAATCTGCTGGCTGCCTCATGGGAAGACCTCTAGTGTTGGTGTTCTGCTGGCCAGCCAGGCATCTGCAAAACTTTGTAATTAAGCTCAATTGTATTCACAAAATACTGAAACCTAAGTTAAATATTACCTGAGTCTAGCTTATATCTGAATTTGTTTGCTTCTAAGTAAATTCTAATCTTACCATAAGTAGATTGGTATTTTAATAGATGCTTTGTTTTACTTCCCTTCCCCCCCCCCCTTTGAGACAAGGTTTCTCTACACAGCCCTGGTGTCCTGGAACTCACTATGTAGAGCAGGTTGGTGTCAAACTCACAGATATTCGCCTGCCTCCCGAGTGCTGGGATTAAAGGCCTGAGCCAACAACCTCAGGCTTGATCGGTATTTTAAAAGGTCATTTTCTGTGATCCCTTCCTGCTTAAAACTGCAACACAAAATTTTAGTTGCTTATGCTGGAATTAGAACTTGCTCCAGAAAGCCCAGGGCTTAGCTAAGTAGCCCTGAATTTTCTCTGTGTGCACGTAAGAAATTGCATGGGAGGAGCCTAATTCAAGAAAGCCAGGTCGTCTTTAGAACCTTTAAATATGTGTGCTTATAAAAAGGCTACTTCTCCGTACATGAAAACAAACGCTCTTCCTCTGCTAACGCACACAGGACCTTTACCTGGGAGCATTAAAGATGGTGGCATCCATATTAAAAATTGTAGGATCAGTTGTGGTAGGAAGGTCTTGCCTTTCACCAGCTCCGATTGCCCAGGGGTGGGGACCTCGCTCAGCTCAGGTGGGAGAGCCCTTTGCAAGTTCTCACGGAGACCTCTTTGTCTTTTGCCTCTACAGGTGCCCCCTTTCAAAGGTCTCAGCATCCTCACGCTACCTCCTGCCGCCACTTCCACCTGGGCCCCCCGCAGCCGCAGCAGCTAGCCCCGGACTTCCCGCTGGCACACCCCGTGCAGTCGCAGCCGGGCCTCAGCGCCCACATGGCCCCGGCCCACCAGCACAGCGGCGCGCTGCACCAGTCGCTGACCCCGCTGCCCACCCTGCAGTTCCAGGACGTCACAGGTCCCTCCTTCCTACCTCAGGCCCTGCACCAGCAATACCTGCTGCAGCAGCAGCTCCTGGAAGCTCAGCACCGCAGGCTCGTCTCGCATCCCAGGTTGGCAGGGGCGGGGCCGAGGAAAGAGGGCGGGGCCGCGGAGGGGCAAGGGTTGTGGCTGGGCTTCTTCTAGCAGCCAAAGTTGAATGCAGTCGCAAGTGGTTCTGCAGGGGATGACTTTTTGCTTCAGTTAGTGGCATTCGTTGAGGACAGAGTCTAGTATGACTCCTCACATCACCCAGGTTAGGAGTCAGCGGCACGATGAACGTTTGTAGCATTTGGGAGGTTTGACTAAAGGTCTCTCAAGTCCCCGTCCAGCTCTCATGGTGGCCTGATTTTGGTTTAACCCAAACCACACCAGAATACCAAAGGGAGCCTCCAAAGGGCCAGCGTCTAGTTGGGGGCTGGCGTTGGCGGCTGGCTGTACACCCGTGAAACCAAATAAAATTGGCAGTGACCAATGTCCAGTCACTACCAGTCTCTGTGCCTCAGCTGTAAAGAAGAAATGGATGAACACAGCTGGGTGCCTCTCAGTCTTCTGGGTTCCGGGGTTCTTTTCACGCTAAAAAGTAACGACTACGAAGAACCTCTACTTATCACGTTTATCACGTTACAAATTTTAAAGCATCTATTAATTCATTAAAAATAACAATAGAGTTCTCGTGCTAAATTAATAAAACCTTCTCTTAATTTAATTCTTTTTATTGAAAATAGAATTTTCTTCTCACATAATATATTCAGATTATGATATCCTCTCCCTCTGCTCCTCCCAGTTCCTCAGCACCTTCCCTCCCATCGGGATCCATTCCCTTTCTGTCTCTCATTAGAAAACAAACAGGCTTCGAAGGGGTAATAATAAAATAAAATGAAATGAAATAAGATAAAATAAACAAGAAATTAGCAGTTGGAATTGAATGAAACAGACCAACATCAAGAAAAGAACCCAAGAAAAGACACAAGAATCAGAGACGCACTCAGGAATTCCATAAAAACACGAACCTGGAAGCCTGACATTTACACGGAGGGTCTGGTGCAGATCCCTGCAGGCCCTCTGCGTGCTGTCTCAGTTTGTGAGTTCATGTGAGATTTGATCATGTTGATTTAGAGGGTGTTCTTCTCCTTGTGTCCTCCATGCCCTCTGACTCTTATGTCCTCCAGCTCCTCTTCCTCAGGTTCCCTTGAGCTCTGAGGGGAGGGATTTGATGGAGATGTCCCATTTAGAGCTGTGTGTTCCAAGGTCTTGCCTGCCTTGTGTCCTGGAAGTTTGGTTATGTTGCATACTTGTTTTCATTCAATTCTAGAAAATCTATTTTTCTCTTCTTTTTCCTCTCTTCTTCTTCTTCTTCTTCTTCTTCTTCTTCTTCTTCTTCTTCTTCATTTTCCTCCTCCTCCTCTTACTCCTCTTCCTCCTCTTCCTCCTTTTCCTTTTTCAAGACAGAATCTTACCATGTGTTTCTGGCTGTCCTGACGTGTGGGTGGGGGCACGCATATGTATGTGTGTGCGTACGTGCATGTGTGCACGTGCATGTGTGTGTGTTTTCCTTCTTTGATTTGCTGAACTGGGATTATTTATTTATTGCGTTTTCTTGGGTGTGGTTAACCTCTTTAGGTTGGAGTACTCTTTTTAGCACCTTCTGTAGGTTTGGAGATGTAGATAGTCATTACTTAAATTTGGTTTTATCATGGATTGTCTTATTTTGTCCATCTATGGTGACTGAAAGTTTTTCTGGGTCTGGGCTGGCCTCTGTGGTCTCTTAGAGTTTATAGAATGTCTGCCCAGGCCGTCCAGGCTTTTAAAGTCCCCATTGAGAAGTCAGATGTAATTCTGATAGGTCTGTCTTTATATGTTACTTGGTCTTTTTCCCTTGCAGCTTTTAGCTTCCTTTCTTTGTTCTGCATGCTTACTGTTCTCGTTATTATGTGCCAAGGGAGTTTTCTTGTCTAGTTCAGTCTATTCTCTATGCTTCTTGTTCCTGGATAGGCACCTCCTTCTTCAGGTTAGGGAAATTTTCATCTATGGCTTTGTTGAAAATATTTTCTGTACCTTTGACTTGGATTACTTATTCTTCTATTCCTATTGTTCATAGCTTTCGTCTTTCAGAGTGTCCCAGTTTTCCCGGTTGTTTTGTGCCGGGATTGTTAAAGAGTGAACATTTTCTTTGAGTGAGCTATCCACTTCTTTCGTCGGGTCTTCAGTGGCTGAGATGCTCCCTTCTGTCTCTAGCATTCTGTTCACGAGGCTTGCCTCCCAAGGTTCCTATTCTGTTCCTGAATTTTTCATTTCCAGATTTCCCTCAGTTTGGTATTTATTTATTGATTCTCTTTCCACTGTCAGGTCTTGAATGGTTTATTCCTTTCTTTTCACTGTTTCTGTTTTCATAGAATTCTTTAAGGGTTTGCCCATTTCTTCCTTAAGGGCCTCTATCATATCTACAAAGGCTGTTTTAAGGTCTTTGTCTTGTGCCTAAGCTGTGATAGAAAATTAGGGTTTGCTGTGGTAGGGTTTCTGGGTTCTAATGAAGACATAGCATCCTGGCTATTATTGTTTGTGTTTTATGCTGGTGTCTGGGCACCTGGGTTTGGGAAGACTGAAATTCTAGGTGTTGATGTCTGGTCTCGTCTTTGTTGGGTGCTTTATTCCTTGGTCTCTGTTTCCTCTCTGATTCTTGGGAGAGTGTGGTGACTGCGTAGGAGATTCTTCTGGATCCTGACAGCTATGGCCACTGGGGTTCCAGGCAAAATGTGTTTCTAGGTATTGGGAGCTGACACTTATAAATGGGGATGGACTAGCAGGGGTGCTAAGGGGGTTCACAGGGGAGAGGATAGCAGGGTGTTCCATGAGGATCTGGCTAATCCCCTGGGAGTGAGACAGAGGGGTGAGGAGAGGCCGCAGCAGTTGTCTGCTACAGAGGTGGGATGAGACTGGGAGATTGGATCTGGAGAAAGGAGGGGGAGGTGAAGATCTGCAGTTAGCCTAACTGCTTCCCTGGCTGGAGAGACCTGTAGATTCCCAGGGCTATAAATTTTCTTATGAAAAATGAGCATGAATCAGTTTAGTGGGAAGAACCACTCAAAATGTATTTGTAAGTCTCTGTGACTCACAGCTTGGCAGAACTTACCTGTGCCCTCATGGCTGCTTCTGTACTAGATCTCGAAGCGTCCTATGTCACACAGTTTCCAGAAAGTCCCACTGCTTGCTTGCAAGAGAGTGAAGGGTGAAAAGGAAAATAGGGTTTTTCACTCTCAAGCTACCCAAAGGGCTTCAGGACTCCTAAGGCTCTGTGATAGATAGGTCCTTAGGCATTTGGGACTGGACGGCTGGGGTAGCCAGACAGTGTTGTGGGAAGTGAAGGAACAAGGCTGCCATGATCTGGTGTGTTCAGGAAGGCCTTCCTGGAGAAAGCGGACTCTTCCTTGAAAACTGGGCAGAGTGTGGTGGAGAGACGGGTGGTGGGAGCAGATGAGAGGATTCAGGGAACCAGCTTCTGCTCACCTGGGAAGTTCGTTGGTGTAAGGGAACTCTAGTTTCTGTGGGGATAGCAGAGTGGGGGCATTCTCAGTAGGTGGAGGGAGTGTCACTCAGAGCTCCTGGGAGCTTGGCTGGCCCAGGCAGCCCCTCACACAAAGGCTTCTTTCTTTCTGTACAGGCGGAGTCAGGATCGAGTGTCCGTCCACCCCCACCGCCTCCACCCCAGCTTTGACTTTGGCCACCAACTGCAGACCCCTCAGCCCCGGTATCTGGCTGAGGGCACTGACTGGTGAGTGTGTGGGTGGGTGGGATGCTGCAGAGCGTGTGGGGGGGGGGATCTCGCCAGACCTGTGGGGTTTCTGTTTTGTATCACTTTCGAAGGGTACAGGTTAGACCCCAGTCTACTGAGATTTGGTGTCTACTTCAGTCACCCACAGGGTGTGGTTACAGGAAGGATGGAAGTGTAACTGGACACTATCCTGGGCCAAGTCTGGTTGATGGTCCTGCCAGAAAGGAGGGAGACAGGATGTGAAATATTGCCCAGGTTCAGTAGAGCTACAAACCAGCAGACTCTAGAGACCGCCTGGGAGGAGAACGCAAGATGCCAGGGTGGTCAGGGAAGGCTTTCTAGAGAGGATGGTCTGGAAGAGTCCACAGGGCTATGGTAAAACCAGCAAGGCCATACATGGGAGGTGACTGGGCAGAGGTTAGAGGTAAGGGAAGGATTTAGGAGCGAAAGAGGAAGATGGAGGGTGTTATGTCTTAGAGACAGGTGACCCCTAGGAAGTCTTCCCATGCTTCTGGAGCCTTACAGCCCATTCACCTCTTCAGCTCTCACCCAGGAGAGATCTGGTCTTAACTAGAGTCAGGCTAGACCTCCCCAGATAGTTTTTAAAAGACCAGTAGTTCACTGGGTATCCATCATGCCTGCAGTGGCTTTCTGAGTAGTTGACATTAAAATTCCTTTCCTGGGGAAACAGGACAGTGTCTACACACTCCCTTCAAGGTCCAAATGACGAATCAGAAGTTGTATTTCACCCAAGTTTCCCCTTGAGAACCAGTGAACTTATTGGGCTTCCTTATAGGGGTAGGGAGATGCTTACAGGAGCATGGGGAACCCCCAAAGCAGCTCACTGGACAGTTCAGTGGTCCTCTCCACCCCTCCTTCTCTGAGGGGATGTCAGCAGTCGCCAGACCCTGTCCTGATCGATGCCCAAGCAAGCACAGCTCATCTCGTGAAAGTGGTGGCAGTTTTGTTCAGAGGACAGTGATACACTGAGGTAGTTCTCTCTAAAGAGGGATGCACATATAGACATATATGTGCCCGTCTGCACATACGCTTATCTATGTATGTGTACTAATGTGCACATAAAGAGTCACAGGAAGAAACAAATAGGCTGAAATGGTGGCTTTCGGGGGAATGGAGGTAAAGCAGATCCTGGAATTCTTTGTTTTTCTTTTAGATAAAGAATACAGGAAGGGGTGGGTAGAATATTCCTCAATGGAAGGAGAGCGACGACATGCCAGTGTGTCATCATTCACACGTGGAGCCAGGAAAGCTGGTTGGGTCAGGGCGGCTTTGGGAGCCCCTTCCATAATAGCTGGGGCTGATTTCATTGCTTCCCATGCTTCTGGGCACCAGAAAGAGTGTTGTGAGCATGCTCTGGTGGCTGCCATCTTCAGCATTCTCAGGTACTCCCCGCTAAGCTGAACAATCTCTCCTAAAAGACAGATCGCACTACTGCCAACTTCCGCCCAGTCTTTTTCCCAATTAGCAGATTCAAATGAGGAAGGTTTAATTGCAGTCTGGATTCAGTTCTGTCCCTCAGCAGTAAAGTCAGTTTGGTTCGATTCAATTCAGCACACATGGAGCCCCCAGAACCCTGTTCACAGCTGAGCGATTTGAACACAAACACAGGGTCTGACACAGTGTGGGGTACGTCACAGGCGGGGTCTACGGTGGGATGTCACCCTTTGGAGGAGTCAGGAGCATCATCCCTGTCCTTCATCAGCTGGTTTATGCATCCAAACCTCATCCTCTTTCTCTTGTCAACCTCTCTGCATTCCCTGCTGCTCTGAGAAACATTAAGAATAAGGATCTGGGAGGCTGGTGAGCCCGGTCCACATTCCACAGTCCTGTGTGGACCCACCCCTGAGCTCATTCTGCTGGTTCTGTCCCCACCGGGGCAACAGATTTTCCTCCCTGCAAGGAGCTCTGCTTCAGCAAGGGTGGACCCAATGGTGAGAAGGCTTTTATCCCCTTTGTTTTGGTCCATCACTCATGCTAACTGTATCTCTTTCTCTTCTATGGAGCTGCCTTACCTTCCAGGAGACAGGAGATACATTGTAGGGAAAGATCTTCTAACCCTCTGCAGGGACCTCCTGGGAGGGAAGGGGTTGTCACAACAGCCACCACCTACCCAGTCCTTTCTTTAGTACCATCAGAAGTCACTGAATTCTGCCCTGGATCATTCTGAGGATTTGGCCTCAGGTCTGGGCCAGCCCCAAGTTGAAGGCTTTGCTGGTCTTACTTTGTGATATCATACCCTTCCCAGTCAATTCTTCAAGTAGATATCCTGGCCTAAGAGTGGGTGCGAGCACCGGGCCTTGGGAGATAATTCTCAGATAGCCCCCTTCTCCGCCTCTGTCTGAAACCTGACTCTGAGCTTGAGCCACAGCCCAGGGTCTCCATCTTTGTCATGGGTCCGCTCTGATCAGCTCCAGTGTTTCAGTTCCAACTCTGACTCCCAGGCTGGACTGTGCCCAGCGCCCCCTGTGGGAGCTCTGCAGGTACCTGAGCCCTGTAGGTAAGGCATGATAGATCATAAGGACCTCCTGCTGTTCTTTCTCAGAGGCAGCCCTGTTTCTATCGAGTCCTGAGGGCTCTAGCATGCAGAGTCACCCATGGATGATTCTGGAACATTGAGGACAGGTTTCTGGGAAGAACTTAAGACTCTGCATAGCAACCAAACCACATCATGTGCTACAAAAATTGACAGCGAAGTAACCTTAAGCTTGATGGATGTGCACAAAGGAAAAGAATCACATGTGCGAGGCAAGGGTGTGAGAAATCTCTACAGCACATCACAGGGTTAATTCTGTGAACTCCCCAAATGGGCTGTCACAGGATGGTGGGAATGGGAGGAAGGGGTACAATGGCTTCCAGGAGCAAGTCCGATCTAGAATGATCACGAGTCTGGCTTTGTGGGTGTATCCAGTGGGCCGCAACTCCGCAACAGCACGTTTTGATTGGTTGTGTGTGTGTGTGTTTTCTTTTCTCCATCTATTGCAAGAGAAGTTTCCTTGATGAGCGGCGAAGACTCCATGCATTTGTGGGCATAAGAATAAGTGTCCATTGACTGTTGCTAGGGGTTTTGCTGATTTAGTACTTTAGTACAATAAAAATTAGGGAATAAAGAAACCATGACTCTGAAGGAGAGTCAGGAGGGTTTGGAGAGAGGAAAGGGAGGGGAGAAATGTAATTATATTATAATCTCAAAAATTGAAGAAAAATTCCTGGTGAGTTTACAGCCCTGGCTGAGTGAGCCTGGGCCCAGGAAGGACATTTCTCATTGTCCCCCCCCCCTTTCATTCCCCCCTGTTCCTCCTCATAGCTTCTTAGAGGGACCTTTAGGTCATGGTACATCTTCCTTCTTTTCTAGTGGAAGGACATAAAGTTGTGAATGTCTGACCAAGGAAAGAGCGTTTTTCTAATTTTCATTCTGATTAATTTTGTTGACTTGTTCTGTGAATTATGAGGGGAGGAGGTTGACGTCTACAACTATAATTATATGTTTGTTTTCTGTTTTTTAAGGATTGTTTTATTTTACATGCTTGAGTGTTTTGCTGTGTGTAAGAGTATTGTGTGTGTGCAATGTCCATGGTGACCAGGAGAAGGCGTCAGATTCCCTAGAACTGGAGTGTCAGATAGTTACTAGTGTGTGGGTGATGGGGACTAACGCTGGGTCCTCTGCAAGTGCAGCCAGCGCCTTTAACCATTGAGCCAACTCTGTCTCCTGTTTGTTCTGTTGGTTTTTGCTTACTTACGTTGATTTAGAAATGTTAGGATAGGTATTTCTCATACAGTAGGACTTACATAGTTGTTATGTCTTTCAAATGAATTGACTCCACAGTCATGTTTCTCCATCTTTGTTTTATGCTCCTTAATCAAAATTCTGCTCTGTCTGATATTAATATAGCCATTCTAGCTTTCTTCTAATGATGCTTGCTTTTTCCTCTTTTTTCTTTTCTTCTAACTGGCTGGCCTGGAACTTTCAAGGCAGACCTCAGACAAGTGAGACTGGCCTGCTCCTGCCTGCTGAGTGCAGGGATTAAAAACATGTGTCACCATGCCCAGCTACTTTTTAATTTTAAGACTTTGTTTAAAAAGAGCAAATAGTTGGCTGTTGTTTTCCAGATGAAAGTCTGTGCTTGTTAATAGGAAATATAGGACATTTACATTTATTATAATTATTCATATAGTTAAAGCTCTAGCTACTGTTTTGTGCTTTGTTTTCTGTTTGCCTTGTCTTTTCTGACTATCATGTACCCAATTTTGGGTTGCTTGAGCACTAAAAAATAAATGTTAGATTCACAGTTGTGTCATACTTTATCAATGGATTTATTAATTACAAATACATATATTGCCACTCTACCCTAAATAGATTACATACTAAAAGCTGTATAACTTACATTTCTCCTTTAATATTGTTTGCTATTCTCTCTATGGGTGTGTATGTATATGCATATATGTATATGTGTGTATATATACTGTAATTGATGCAATTCATTGCTATAATTTTTGTTTTAAATTAGTGGCCTGGCAAACTGTGGACTATATGTCATATCTGGCCTAATTCTAGATTTTTTGTTTTTAAGTAGATTTGTTAGAACGCAGCCATGCCCATTTGCTTACAGATGGTTTGTGGCTGCCTTTGCATAGAGTAGTTGCTGTGATAGAGAATGTTTGGCTTTTGAAACCTAAAACAGTCACTAGTTGATTCTTTATAGAAAATGTTTGCTAATGTCTGTTTTTAAACAATCAGATCTCAAAGAGAAAAAATAATGTATCGAGAGAACCTTTTATATTTCTTATATAATCTGACTCCAGAAGTTTTTATTCCTGCTCTTAGATCTGAGTTTCTGTCTGTATTTTCTTCCGTCTGGAGCACTTTCTGTAGTATTTCTTGTTGTGCTAGTCAACTGCACTCTCAGTTTTGGTTGTCTCCTAATGTCCTATGCCACCTTGTTCTGAAAGACATTTTGCTGGGCACAGGCTTCCATGTTGACAATATTTTTTTCTTTTTGGATATCATTCCATTGTTTTCTGTTTGCTTTGTGACTAGTAGGAAATCTGAAATCCTCATCTCTGTTCGTGACTCTTCTGTGTCCTTGGACTGGTCTCAGAATCTTATCTTTATTAATATTTTTTAGGAATTTATGTATCTTGAGCAGATTCTCTTTTGTAGCTCTGCCTGAAATATGCCGAGGGTTTTGAATATGTGTCCTGTTGCTTTTCAGCAGTTTTGGAAATCTTTGCAAGTTTTTCTGGCGTGTGTCCTCTCCTTTACCTCCCTTGGCCCTTGGGAGGGCCTGTTTTCCCATGAGGCTGCTCCCTCAGCAATGTCAACGAAGTTTAAATATTTCTTCCTTTTTGTCTGCATGCTTTAGATTATTTTTATTGCTGTGATTAAATCACTGATCTTAATCTACTGTTGACCCAACCCCAGTGAAGTCTCCATTTTAGACATTGTGTTTTTTATTCATCCCAAGAAGCTCTTTGGAGATTATGGTCTAAAACCTCTTCCCTATTTTTGTGTTTCTATCCGTGTCCTTGAATATGGTTTATAGTTGCTATTTTGGCATCTTTATCTGCTAATTCCACCATCTCTGTCACTTTCTTGTGTCAGGTATTTTTGTTGTCTGATTTTCCCCCAACTCTAAGACATAATATTCTTCTTCTTCTTATTTTTTTTTATCATGACCAGTTATTTCCTATGAACAATGGATATTGTGAACTACAGACATTGTGAGCAACGGTAACTAGATTTGCTTTGCTCATCTGTGGGGTACTGAGCCTTGTTCTGTTAAGCATCATTTGTGGATCTGTTTGAGCCTTTGGAGGCTTCTTAAGTCTTACGACCTCAGATCTCGAATATCCCTAAATCAGCAAGTACTCTAGAGCTGCCCCAACGAAGCGTAGCGGCCGGCTTTAGAGGAGTGTTTTGGAGTCCACTAGATGCCCTTAGTGATCAGCAAGAAGTCTCATTCTCCAACAGAATCCAAACGTTTCTTGCCTACTCACTATTTCCACAGGTGATGATGTCAACCTGCAGGATGTCACCCTACAACAATTGTCTTCAACCTTCCCAATGCTGTCCCTTCAATACAGTTCTTCTTGTTGTGCTGACCCACAACTCTAAAATTATCTTCATTGCTACTACATAACTGTAATTTTGCTGCTGTTGTGAATCGTAATGTAAATATCTGATGTGCAGGCTATCTGATATGCAACCCCTGTGAAAAGGGTTGTGACCCCAGGTTGAGAAATGCTGCCCCACCCACATAACTTACCGTTCAGTAAAGACTCAAGGGACACTGCCGACTTCTGGAGCTCTCCTTTGACTTCTGCAGCTTCCTCCTCTTCAGGATACTGCACCACGGACATCAGAGACCTCAGCTCCCGGCAATCAGTGAGCGAGTCCTCCGCCTGAGAGAGCACCAGTCTCTCTCAAATACCAATGTGTGCCTCTGGTCTGGATACCTTCTCTGGCAAAGCCTGCGAGGCTGTAGGGTCGCCTGGGTCACAGCTCTGTGCTGGTTTATGCAATATCTGAACGCAGATGCTGTGTGGAGTCTGTCCAGTGGCTCACAGTGGAGGAAAAATGCAATCTCTGCTACCTTAAAACATGACGGGAAGCAGGATGCCTTTAATGGTTCTCTCTCTCTCTCTCTCTCTCTCTCTCTCTCTCTCTCTCTCTGTGTGTGTGTGTGTGTGTTTAGATTTTGCTGTTACATTCTGACCACTCTGAAGTCATTTCAGATGCTCCTCAAAAGTGGAGCAATGACAGCTCATGCATGCAATCCTAACATTTTTGAGGTGGAGACAGGAGGATTGTAAGTTCACTTCTGGCCTGAGCTACAGAGTAAGGCTCTGTCTTAAGAAACCATTTTAAAAGTCCCTAGTTCTCTCTGTCTCTCCCTCCCTCCCTCCCTCCCTCCTTCCCTCCCTCCCTCCCTCCCTCTCCCTTTCTTCCTCCCTTTCTCCCTCCTTCCCTCACTTTGTCCTTCACTTTCCCTCTCTCTCTACCTCTCTCTCCCTCTCTTGTTTCTTAGCAAAAACACTTTGGAAATACCACTATGTTTTTCTACTAGAAAATACTCTGGTATGGCTGCCTGTTCTTCTGTGATGTTGGCAGCAATTGATGACCTCTGTCTGGGTCTTTATCTATTTGGAGGATGCAAAATGGTATTAGGTAATTTAATAATTTCTTGTTCATACGCTTGCTGGAAAGCTTCATATGAGAAATGACCCTCATAAGCCCTTTGGTTACCCTGAAGTACCTTAGTCAGGGAAAGTGCAAGCCCGACGCTTGGGTCTTCCCTTTGTTTACTCAGCTGCTGGGTTAGGAGCTGGTCCCTTGGCATCCTTCAGAGACGATGCTCTTGTTCAGCATTATCTCAGCCCACATTTAATGTCTTTCATGGACTTCACTATGTTTTTGCAGTTACAGTTACTGACATGCACATCATCCAAACCTGGCTGCTGCAAGCCTCTTCTGGAAGATTCCCTCTGCTGTGACCCTGGTGCACATTAATAGCATTCCTACCTTTGGTTATGGCAGAATGCTCCAGTTTCTCCTCTTGCATGTTCTCCACAGACCCCAAATGAGCTCCGTTTCTCATTAGCCACTGGTTCCTCTTTGTTTCTTTGTGTGGATCTAAGTTCTTACCGGCATCATTTTCTTCTGTCTGCAGATCTTGCTTGACTATTTCTTGTGGTGCTGGCCCATCAGCACCTCCTCCTTCCAGCCTTTGCTCGTCCGACAAAGCTTTACTTCACCTTCATTTTGAAAATCATTTTTTACTGGATGCAGCCTTCATGCTTGATATTATCTTTTTGATTTCTTCTTATTGCTGTCAATTCTTTCCCTTCCGGCTGTTTCTGTGATAATCTGTACCCCCCTTCTCTATCCGAGGGGCCCTTTTCTTTAATCTCAGGTTGGCTTTAAACGTTTATCTTTATTATTCTTAAATGTTATTGTTATGTACATTGAGTTATTTTCATGTTACACTGTTGAAATTTGTTAATCATTTTGAGCCTGTAGGTTTACAGTTTCCATTGAATTTGGAAATGTTTTCGTGAAACTCATGAATTTGGAAATGTTTTAGTGAAACTCATGTTCAAATGAAGTGAGTTTTTCTAAACTTTTAGGAAGTAGCAGGGTGGACTGGGATTCCTTTCTAGCCTGTAGGATGAGCAGTTGAAGGGAATCACTCGCCTGGGGTTTTATCAAGTGGGGAAAATATGATCACTGCCCGTCCTCAATCTGGTCCTGGCTTCCTTTGCTCAGTATCCCTGACATACTCCATTTAGTCTCTTCCTTGGGAGGGAGCCTTGGGCTTGGTTCTTAGAGAATGGTTCTTAAGGCTCTGGGCTGCTCCAGATGCCTCAGGTCTTAGATGTGGGTCTGGGGAGGGGGTGGGGTGGAGGGAGACATGGAAACGGTTCGTTGTGGGTAGGCAGTTTGTAGGAAGATTTACCAATGCCATTTTCTTCTACTCTGAAGGGCAGAGTCGGTAGCATGAGTTCCGACTTAGCCCCAAGGTGGTGTGTGAGACCTCTTCTGAAATGGGTTGGTACCTCCCTGACCTTGTAGCTCATGAGGCTGTGTCCCCCACAGGGATCTCAGTGTGGACGCTGGCTTGAGTCCTGCCCAGTTCCAGGTGCGGCCCATCCCTCAGCACTATCAGCATTACCTAGCCACTCCTCGAATGCACCACTTCCCCAGAAACTCTTCCTCCACACAGATGGTGAGTGACAGAGTCCTGGAGTCCTGGGGGCGGCCGGGGGGTGGGGGTGGGGGTGGGGCAGGGGCGGGGTATGAATGTCTTCACTGCCTCCTGCACGCTAGTGATGAGGTGAGGCCGCGGGCTCTCCTCTCCGGTGCTCAGGGTTCTCTGAGTCCTGGCTCCTACACAGACCAGTAGCTGCCCTCCACTCTCAGCCCCAGTTCTTATTCCGGCTTGAGGAAGATGAGACAGAGCAAGTCCAAATGCCAGCCCTGCTGAGGGGTGTCAGGTAGAAGAGGCAGCGCATCAGGCTGTAGTCTTTGGGAGAAATGCCTAGTACTGAAAGACTCTGCCCTGGGGCTGGGGAGCCGGCTCAGTCAGTAAAAAACGCTTGCTGTACAAGCATGAGGACTTGAGTTTGATTCCCAGCACCCACACCAAAAGCCAGGCATGGTGGTGTGTGCCTGTAACATCAGAGCTGGGGATGTAGAGGCCAGGAGATCCCCAGGGGGTTCTGGCTTGCCAGCTTGGCCTTATCAGTGAGCCTCTGGTGCTTCTGAGCACCTCAGTCTCACAAAATGAAGAGGGCAGCTCCTGGGGACAATACCTGAAGCTGAAGCTGACCTTAGGCCTTACACACACACACACACACACACACACACACACACTCCTGTCTCCCTGTGTTGACAGAGGTTTCTGTCCCTCCTGGTCCCTCAGCCGTTCAATCCCAAAAAAACACACAGAGGCCTACATTAATTATAAACTGGTTGGCCTATTAGCTCAGGCTTCTTATTAACTATTTCTTACATCCTGCATTAATCCATGATTGTCTGTGTTATCCACATGGCTTGGTACCGTTCATCAGTGAGGCGTTGGCATATTGCTTCCACTGTGTCTGACTTTATCTGTGATGACTACAGACTGAGTCTTTTCTCTTCCCAGAATTCTGTTCTGGTTGCCATGCCTATACTTCCTGCTTGGCTACTGGCCAGTCAGCGTTTTATTAAAATACAAGTGACAAATCTTTACAAAGTACAGGACCACTGCCCCACAGCATCCCTGGGCGTGACTATGCTTTTTGTGTGTGTGAGATGGAATGTAGACACCACACATGTGTCTCTCACAGGGGCTGATGAGAGCGTCACAATAGATCCTAGAGGGACCTCCCCATAGACCTAGGATACCCACTTCCCAGGAACAGCCCTCTTGGGGCTATAGAACCCAGAATGTGCCAGAAAACTCAGGTTGGGTTTGAGGCTGCCAGTGATACATAATACCAAGAGAAACGCTTGTTGCTGTCCCCAAATAGAATTCTCCCTTCTCAACCCTTGTTTCTGTCATTTAGCCACCCCGTGGCTTGGGAAAGGAGCACTCACTACATACTAGACATGATTATAAACACCTCATATAACTAATCTTACTTCCTCCTGCCAGTACCCTGTACAGCCAGCTATGATGTCAATTTTGCACATTGGCAAACTGAGGCCTAGAGAGATGAATTGGTTCCAGTGTATGCAGTGGAAATCTTAATGGCAGCTTGTCTGTCACCTCGCCAGGGTTATGGAAGGCTGAATTAAACAGAGATCAGCAAGTTTGGGGCTAGAGTCTGTATATAAAAGACTAATATTTTGTGGATTTCTAAAGATTCGTTTTTACTTAGAGACACTGCATCACACTACTGTTTACCGTGGTTATTGACCTTTTTGGCCCTGGAGATGACCCGTAGCCATCCTCTTGCTCTTGGAGATAGTAGAGGAGGCTCTGCCACCGAGTTGTCTGAACCTGAGTCTTGACTCTGTCACTTGCTTGAGTGACATGAGCTGTTTATTTAATCTACTGGTGCCGTATTCATCCCCCTCAGTAGAAGGGGGATTTGTAATTGTCCCTGCAGGTTCCATCAGGTGAGGCAGTTAAATGCTTGGTCACTAGCGCTACTGTGTAGCCTGTGCACAGTCAGGGTCAGGGTCAGGGTCACCGTAGTGATGGTCATCAGAGTCTGTGCACAAGCTTGGCTCTTCATGAATAGGGTAGAAAACAAGATCAGGAGGGGCAGGCCTGCTGGGCAATAGGTCTGGGTGTGCTCTCTGGTGGTTGAGGAAGGGGAGGTTGCCTCTTGGGCCCAGGAGAAGCCTGGGACGGTTGGTGACGCTCTCCAAACTGTTTTCTCCCTGTCAGGTTGTCCATGAAATTCGAAACTACCCTTACCCACAGCTTCACTTCCTCGCGCTCCAGGGACTAAATCCTAGTCGGCACACCTCTGCTGTTCGGGAGAGTTACGAGGTATGTTGCCCGGTATGGCGGCACTGCGGCACCTACTGGATGGCGAGCTCTCCTTCACACACCATTCTCTCTGCCTGTCTGTACCAGTGGGTAGATGCCGACGGGCGGTGGGGAGTCCCGAGATTGAAAGTAAGAGAGAACAAGGGCATGAAGGGAAATCGCAGCTTCCCACACTGCACCAGCGCTTCCGGCTGGCCCCATACCGGCTTCCTGCACGCGTCTTCCTTGCTCATTCCTCCCGTGTGTGTTTATGTGTATCCGTACACATTGAGCATTTGTGTTTCCCTTTCTACAGGAGCTGCTGCAGCTCGAGGACAGGTTGGGAAACGTGACCCGAGGAGCTGTACAGAACACCATCGAGAGGTTCACCTTCCCCCACAAGTACAAGAAGGTGAGGATGCATAGACTGCCTCCACAGTCAGGGGCTGGGAAGGGAGTTGTTAGTGTGGCTACTTGAATCAGCATGGCTATCTGCAGGGGACACAGTCCAAAGCCCGGAAGCCTTTGCTCTGTTTGAATGGCTCCTCAGGATTTTCTCATTGACTCACGGCAAATGTGGTCAGGAAGGAAGATGGGACACTCTACACAGAGAAGGGAGAAAGGCTGAGTGTGCAAATGTTGGTTAGAGTGGTCATGCACGTATTTGTGTGTGTGTGTAGCAGTACAGACACATCAGTGTTCGTGCACCAGTCTGGTGAGCAAAGGGGTCCTACACACAAGGCTAATAGAAAATACCTTAGAAAACAATTCAAAGCCCTATTGCATAAGGACAAAGGGGTAAAGAAGGCCTCTAAACAGTGTGGGATTGGGCTCTTCTGGGCACGTTTGAAAGTTTCAAAACTGTGGAATGTACCCACCGACCTTAGAAGTAGAATCTGTAGGGCTGTTACCCAGAAATATTAGCTTTTAAAGCATTATTTTAATTAAAAGAAATGAAAATATGGAAGAAGCCAAAATGTTCATTAATAAGTAGATAAGTAAACATCCATAATGGATTATTGTTTTATAACAAAAAGAAACAATCCATTAGCCATGAAAAACTGTGGAGGAAACTTAAGAATACACTAAAAAGTGAAAGAAGACAACCCACAAGCTGCAAACTGTATGCTGTGAACTCTATGACATTCTGGAAATATATAACAGAAAGAACAAAAAGAAAAAAGATAAGGGATTGCCATTGCAGAGGGAAGGCACAGGCAACGTGCCAGGGATTTTTGTTAGTGCAGCAAATTATTGTGTATGGCGTCATTATTTAAACAGGTGACATAATGCATTTACCAAAACCACAAGGCAGGATCTGAGTCAGGATTTGAGTGGCTCATCACTGCGACAAACTCCCCGAGAAAGCAACCTCCACGAGGAAAGATTCTTTTGGGTTCGGAGTTTGAGAAGTCTGTTCGTGGTTTCTTGTCTCTGGTTCTGTGACTGTGGCAAGGCTTGGTAGGTAGGAAACGGCGGGTGAAAATGCTGGGAAGGAGGCTTACCCTTCCAGGGAACACCCGCAGTGACATTCTTCCTCCAACTAGGTCGTACCTCCTAGCTCCCACCACCTATAATGTTATCAAATTAGGAATGCATCAGGGGATTAATCAATTAATAAGACTAATGCTCCGAGGGTCCAGTCACTTTCCAAAGCCATCAGTGTGCAGTCAAACCTGTAACATTTCAGCTCCAACCCTTAACTCATGGACACTAATGGGCTTGAGCTAATAATGGCCAATATTGGTTCATCACTTGTCCCAAGTTTACCATATAATATGAGATATTCATATAAGGAGATGCTGTGAGGTGGGGCCACATCATGTTGGGTTCAGGTAGGGTTCTCTAACGTGACTACTGTAGCCCGGAACCTCAGCATGACGGGTAGTCTCTGTAGGTGAGCAGTGACAGGCTGTAAACATCCAGGCAGAGGAGACTGGAGTTGCTAGTCTTTGCACACCTTGATGAAATGCACGTAAACACTCACTTGGACTCTCAAGAAAAGCTTTGCCTTTTCTTTTGAGACCCAGCCTTATGGGTGACAGATTTGCCAATTGTCCCACAAGTGTGGGACTTGGGTATGCTTGACATGACCGTGCACATGTCAAAATAACACACTCAACAAGGATTTCATCACTCAGGACTTCCTTTGCTCCCTATAGTGGAAGTTGGAAACACACTATTGTTGCTTAGTTTTTGTGTAACCTTAAATCACTATACCAAAAAAGTTAACATCGAATCAAAATTAAACAAATTTAGGGAAATTAAGGGCAGGCCATGGTTCATCATGGTGCACCCAGAGACCTCATCCACTCTCTTGATACCCAACACAGCGGTAGTTGAAATCACTTGGGACTAAAGTCAGCCATTTTTGAGTTTCAGTTCTTCTGAGCATGGCTTTGTGGGTGTGGACAGTGACCCATTCCTTCTGTTTTCAACACAGCAACTTCAGGACACAGTGGGATGGTGCAGCTTCATACATAGGGCTGGGTACTTGCCTAGTGAGCAGTAACAGCCAACGGTGAGCCGCTGTCCCCAGTTCCTGCCCGTGTGCCGGATGTCAGTATCAAAGAGCACACACCATCAAATATGTGTCCCCACTGCGTTTGTTACTTCTGTTGTCATGGTAAAACATCATGACCAAGTCAGCTCATAAAAGAAAGTGTTTAATTGGGCTTACAGCTTCAGAAGGTTGGAGACCCCAGTGGCAGAACAAAGGCGTGGCAGAAAGAACCTGTGAGAGCTCACATCTTGATCCAAAAAGAATGGCACAAGTCTTTTGAAATCTTAAAAGTCTGCCCCCAGTGACATATGTCATCTGGCAAAGCCACACCTCCTAATCCATCCCAAACTATTCCACCAACTGGGGACCATGTAAATATATGAGTCCAGGGAGCTGGATCAGCGAGAAAAACCAGGAGGATTAAAACTCAAGGCAGAATCAAGAGAAAAATATTGTAGAGAAGGAATAGGAAGAATTAAGGTAAGACAACTTTAATAAACTTTAGGATCCAAATACAATGTTAAAACAATTTTAAATTTTTTAACAGAGACTAAAATAAGTAAAAAGTGTATTGTAACTAATAATAAAAATAGAATATATAGACATTAAAAATAGGACCATATGAAAGAAATAAGAATAGGAAGAGGAATGAAAGCAAAATATAAAATAATCAAGGTTAGTCAGGAATGGTAGGTAGGGCACACCTTTAATTCCAGAACTTTGGAGGTAGAGGCAGGGGATCTCTGTGTTCCAGGACAGTCAGTGCTACACAATAAGACCCTGTTTTGAAAAGCCAAAAAACAAAAAACAACAAAAACCAAGATTATCAAAGTTAAAAAGAAATGTTGATGAAATATGAAGGTAGATGAGTAGTGAATATTAAATAAATGCTGAAAAAAGTTGAAGTTAAAATCAAAGTTGCACCAGGCTTTCTTTCGGGCCACAAGCAGCTCCAAAATCACAACACTTACACTTAAAATTAGTTATGAATGCTTGGCCCTAACTTGTGATTGTTCTTGCTAACTCTTATAACTTAACCCACTTCTTCTCTTTGTCTACATTTTGCCTCAGGGATGTTTTACCTTTCTTTCTGCATATCTTACTTTCCTGCTGTCTCCACATCTGGCTGGCAGCTGCCTGGCTTTTGGCCCCAGAATGTGCTTCTCTTTCTCCGTTTTGCTTTTCATTATTCTTCTCTTCTTCCAAGCCTAGATTTTTCCTCCTACTTATTCTCTTGCTGCCCAGTCCTGCCAATCCCTATCCTGCCTTGCTATTGGCCGTTCCTCTTTTTATTAGCCCAATCAGGTGCATTTGGCAGCAACACATCTTTACGTAATTGTTAAACAAATGCAGTATAAACAAGCGTAACACATCTTTACATGATTAACAAAGGCAGCGGAAACAAATGTAACACACCTTTACACAGTTAAAGTAATAATCCTGAGCAGAAATAATAAATGTAGCACATCTTTGACTAGTTAACATAATATTCCACATCACAAAGTTCTGTAGACAATGGAGAAAAAGAAAGATTTAAGAGATTAAAGATTGAGGCTAAGAAATGTGCTGTGAAAAGAGAGAAAGGTTAGAGATAGTTAAACAGGACAGTTTGAACTGAAGTTATGACACAGAAAGGAAATCAGGATAATGGTGGATAAAAGCAATAGAGACTAGGCCTTTGGCTGAGGCTTAACGCTGTTTGGTTGGACATTTCTTTTCTAGCAGAGCCAATCCTGCCACAAAGTCTGCTGACCCTTCGGCAGGCAGATAGTCATGACTCTATTAATGCTAAAAATAATGTGTGGCCAACATGTAGGACAATGGATACTGCTTGGTTTTCTGAATAAAGGGACCTTGCAACAGCCTGGCATCATTTGCAGCGGGGACACGGGGCACATGAGGGGGTGCAGCCAGTGGAAGCAATAGGCTTCTTTGTGTGTTCTAACCAGGGCGGGACACCCCCAGACAAAGTCAAAATAGGGAGATTTTGAGCTTCCGACCAGAGTAGGTAGTCCTGACATGCAGGCCTGGCACTCTCTGGTCTTCATCTGTGACCCATGTGTCTTTTTGCAAAATGACTTTGCAGTTTGCTTGCCTCTGGAGGGAGGCCAGATTGGATGACTTTCTGTCCGTGGTTACTTTCATCCTTACAATCAGATGTCTGCAGCATGGGGCACAGGGACACGGAAGGCGGACAGATTTTAATTCACTGGTTACATTTTTCTTTCCCCAGAATACTTATTAAGCAGCAATGACATGCCTCGTACTTGGCCACAGGTGCCACTTGAAAACTTTCCGCAGAGTGCTTAACTGTTGTCAAATAATCACCGTAGAATCAGGGATAGAGAGGTGTAAATCAGGAAGTATGTACAGCAGCTGCGTGGTGTTTAACCTCGTACTAGAGCTGCCGCTTAGTAGCTTAAGGGAACTTTCTGGCTAGGGAGAGAAGCACAACTGTAGAAAACAGTTTAGAACCACGTGGTAGAAATTAAAGGGGTTAATGGTGGTGGAGAAATTTTGTGTTCATCTAATAATGGGAGCATAGATGGACAGACATTAGTGGAAAGAATGAATGAGAAACGTGTGTTTGAATGAATGAATGAATGAATGAATGAATGAATGACACATTCTGACTTAGAGGCAGGGTTACGTGTTGGACAGGGTGTGAGAGGGAGTGGACAACTGAAGGAGACAGGGGAAGCCAAAATTCACAGGCTGTAGCTTTGCACAGGGCAGGATAACTTGGAGCCTAGCTCCTTTGCAAACCCCAGACCCCTTGACAGTGTCTAGGACAGTCACCAGCAGTCTACCGGCCTCTTCCTCACTTGCTTTTAACCTCTTGGCATCAGCAAGAGTGAGGAGATGGCAGGGAGCACTTAAAGAAGCTGACCCCTAGCAAAGGGAGAGGCTACAGGTGTGGGAGGAGCCTGTGGGTGAAAGCCAATGGCCAGCAAGAGTTGGTACCAGGTAACTAAAATGAATGTTCATTTTTTTTTTCTCACAGCGAAGACCCCAGGACAGCAAGGGCAAGAAAGACGAAGGGGAGGAGTCAGACACAGATGAGAAATGCACGATCTGTCTGTCTATGTTGGAGGATGGAGAAGACGTGAGGTAAGAGGCCGCTGCTACAATGTTTCATGGTTGCACTAGTAAAGCGGAGGGCGAAATATTCTAGAGGTGGTGACCATGAACATGGGGGCGTGGAGACAGTATGCTAGCGGCTCTGAGGGATCTAAGCCAACGCCAAGGCCTATATGGAAGAAGGGCTTTGAGAGATACTTCCAGCCATGGTTTCTCATCTCAGCCATAGCCTCACTCCAGACCAGGGTCTGGGTTCCAAGAGCCCTCTCTATCCTGTCCGCAGTGGGTCTCGTCGCCTTGCCCCTGCTGCTGGCCAACCTGACTCTCCTCTTTTCCAGACGCCTGCCTTGTATGCATCTCTTCCACCAACTGTGTGTGGACCAGTGGCTCGCCATGAGCAAGAAATGCCCCATCTGCCGAGTGGACATTGAGACACAACTGGGAGCCGATAGCTGAGGGAGGAAGCTAGCCAGTGGACGCCCCGTTTCCTTCACCAGGCCCCGCCCCCTCGCCCCCCCACGGCCATAGCCCTTGCAGCCAAACTTTGCCTTCTGAGCCATTTGACGTAGAGAAGAAGCCTGCAAGCACATTTGGTGGAAAGAGGAGTTGGTATCAGTGTCTGAGGGAGAGGAAGGGGTGGGAGGGACCCACCCGAGGGACCCACCCATTCCCACCCATTCCCACCCATCCAGAATGGTGACTGCCTCATCGCCTTGCTGCGCAGGGGGAGGGAGCTGGCCGTGCCCAGAGCAGGGGCGGGAAGCGGGGGCCCAGCTGCTGAGAACTAGGTGTGATCTCGAGGGTACTAGCTGGTGACCGGCCCCTCAATCCTGTCCTTTGAAGGATTGTGTATATACCTCTTGACCACGTAGAAACCATGTAGGGGTCTCTAGCTATTCTGTGGATGGCAGCCAGAGCATGTTAGCTTAAGAAAAATGTCGTGTGTGGTGCTCTCGTCATCTGTGGTGGACATGTCGCTATTACTGAACTTGCACCAAATATTTCTCATTGAGTTTCTTGTTTTGGTGCCTGACCGAACCAACCAACCAACGACAGCCCCAATCTTCCCGTCTTTATGAGCAAAAAGGAAAAAAAAAGGAATCAAAGGTTAAAAAAAAAAGAAAGAAAGAAAACGAAAAAAAAGCCAAATCCTGTTTACGGTGAAAAAGGATAAAAATTTTTCACCCAGATTGGGAGGCGGGAGGGGGGGTTCTCGTTTGTTGTTTTTTTTGTTTTTTTCCTTGGGCTTTGTTTTTCTCATGTTTACAGTGCACGGAGTGTGGGAGGGGCATCTGAGAAGGGGGTAGGGCTTAAAAGGAACAGCTGGGGTCTCTCTGGGTTTCTAAGGCTTTGGGGGAAGGTGAGGAGGGCAGAACCCTCACCCATGAAGGGGGCCCATATAAAGGTGAGCTCCCCAGGCCTGGGGCCCATTTGCTTGGCCCCAGCTGTCTTCCTAGGTTCCACACTGAACCAGGGAAGACACGGCCTCCAGCCACAGTGGCCCCTATGTTCCTGGGAGCCAGCGGCCCCCTGCGCACTCCAGTTCCTAACTTTATCCTGAGCTCTCATCTTGCCACAAAGAGGCAATGTAGCCACTGCCTCCCTATGCAAACAATTAACCAGATGATGCAGATGAAATAGCACTGGCAGTGTACACTTGGCCTTGGCCAAAGTGCTCTCCGCTGGCACTCAGGGCTGAAGTCCAAGTCCCTAAATTTGGGAGTAACTTGAGCATCCTCCAGGATCCTGTCTGATCAGTCCCTCAGAGATGGCCCTTGTATGAGACCACCTGACTGGGCTGGGCTGGGAGGCCCGTGTCCCTAGCCCTTTGATCGTCTGATCTGAGAATTAGCGCTATCCAGCCCATTGTGTGCGCTCTGCTCTCTCGTGGGGGTCTCGGAGGGTTTAGTGATGGGCGTGGACAAGGGGGATGGGAGGATCTAGTGGTGCCACATGACAGTGTGCTCTCTGTACCGTTCCATGATTTTTCAGAGAGATGAAAGGACTATTGGAAGTGAGAACCATTCTGCTAATTCTAACCCAAGTGTAGCTCTTAATCACGTGTAAAAAATGCCAGGACACCTGGCATGCTGTGACCTTCCTTTGCCCCCGGCCCTTCTTCTCGTCCCTCATTCCATTGCTCTCAGAATCCAGCCGGACCTCAACCGCTAGCCTGTCTCAGTGCTCTTGTATCAAGGAACTAGGGTGCTGGCGGGATAAAGGAAGAAGTTCCATGAGGATGGATGAACCAGGATCAAAACTGACAGGGGACTGTTGGACTCGAGAGAGGTCCTTCTAGCGCAGCTGACACCATCATGAAGGAATGGCTGCCTATCCACTATCCAGATGAAGGCTACACCCATCTCCTGATGTCTCCTAAAATCTCTGTCGAGTGCCTACAGGGGCAGGTGTTGATGAAGACGATCGGTAAGGCAATGTCTTTGCCTGGTGGAGTTAGGAGAGGATGGGGATCCGCGTGCATCCAACAGCGCTTACGGTGGACAGTCAGAGAGTGAAGACCAGGACAGTGAAGAGCGTGGCCTTTTCCAACTTCGGTTGCATGAACAATGTCTCCAACACCAGGGCTGGATACCCACCAGGTGGGGAAAGAATGTTTGAGTCAGGATGTCAGGGAGCTGCTGAGCAAAAGCCACCAGGACTTGTGAATTCTTTCTTGCTCCTCCCCAAGGCCCTGTCAAAACCAAGATTTCATCAGAAGATGACGGTAGCTCAGAGGTAACTGGGGTGATCCTGGCAGGTCCTTGCTTCCTGAGGCCACTCACTCTCTGTTCCTTGCTGAGACCATCCTGCAAGACTGGCAGGGAAAGAGAATTGGCAGAGACCCAGGGGGGATGGAACTAGTGTCCCTGATTCTAGTCCCGGCTCCTCACAGGCAAACTGAGAGATTGCTGGAACCTCCACCCACACCCCTTGCCCTGCTGGGCCTCGGCATCCTCAGCTGCGACACAAGGAGGTTGGATTGGATGCTCACTAAATTCTACCATTACACACATTCTGTGATTCTTTCTAATTCAATATATCCTTCAAGTAGAGCTCTGTGCTGCCCATGCTGCTGAGAGGCCTTTTATGCCCCCACAGATCTGCTTCAGAGGCTGAGGCACGCAGGCTGAGAGGGTAGAATGGTTTCTCCTTGCTCCCCTTTATGCAGGCTCTTTGAAAGCCCCAGGCTAACATTAGGACCTGGGGAGGGGAGGGGTTGTTCTTGCTGCCCCTTCCCCTTCCCACCTACCTACCTGGGGTCCCTGTGTCCTGATGGTAGGGGCTGGAGTAGCACTTAGAACCCACCCAGTTCCCGTTTTGGGACTGCTGATTGGTTGGAGGAAAGCCGGTGTCTCTGTTCCGGGTCCCCAGACTGGCCATTGAGCCAGAGGTGAGGCAGGGCCAGGCCTCAGCATCTCACATCTACCATCTCCAGGAGAGAGACCTAAGTACTTCTCCTGCTCAACTCAAGGGACTCAGACCCTTTTCTGACTGAGACGCATGAGTGCCTTTGACAGCGGCCCCAGGTTCAAGTTGGGCCTCCTAACCGCAGCCATGGCTCAGCAGGTCCACCTAGGACACCAATCAACCCAACGCCACGTATCCAGCTGGGCACAGGCAGAGGGCGGCAGGGGCTGCACGTTCCGTTCCTCCACCTGGCCAGGCCCCCAGGTCCCCCGTGTCATTTTCGCCACCACCTGTGACAGGCCTCAAGTTCCCCTCTGCGAAGGCCCCCAGCCTCCGTGCAAGCATCTTAACTCTTTACGCCTAACGAACAAGCACAGTTTTTTCAATGGTGAAGAAAAAGCACCAGACTATTTTTTTTCTTGAAGAAATCCCCCAAGCCGCCCTGCCTGCGGGACAAACATTCCCCATGTGGGGCTGTAGCAACGTCTGTCAGGTCCCCTTGTGTTTCATCTCCCGCGCGCGTGTAGAGCAAATGCTAGAGCGATTTCAGCTGATAGAAAAACAAAAAAAGAAAAAAAAAACACAAAAAATAAAAAACATGGCACGTTGCTAGTTTACAGGGTTTTGTGAGTTTCAATGCCTTATATTTAACAATCATAATTTATGACTAACTTGTAGATATCGTGGGTTCTTATTTAATTATTTTTATAGTTGTTTTGCATTTTTAATTATAATTTATTTATTTAGAAAGGATACTAATGTTTTTTATTGCTCCTATTACCTCATTTTGGCGTCGTTTCTGGGAGTGGAATGCTTTGCATGCATTGGTACGATGACAACTGCGAAAACAAACAAACAAACAACCCATTTTAAATAAAAGTCTGCGAACTTTATTTCGTCCAAACTATCAGGGTGTGTGATTGCAAGCTGTCCTACTGTGGTGCTGGCCTCTTTGGATACATTCCATACGAAATGCAAACCTTTGATTCTGTATGCTGTGATCTAGTGAAAAGCTCCAACATAGTGACTGTATTTAGCACATATATAAATATAATTTGCACTCGTCAGCAGGCTGGGGTAATCCTTTCACTTGGCACCCTTGGCCCCTCCCCCAGCCCTCTTTCCCACCTCAAGCCTGCTTCCCTTGTTCCCTCCCCCTTCCTACCTCCTCAAGCCCACTCATGCTCCCTCCCCTGAGGACTGTGTCAGGGCACAGGGGGTCACTGGCTATTCCTGGGCTCCCACTCACTAAAGTTCCAGAATTGGGGTCCTTCAGTCACAGCGGGCGTGGTCCTCTGAAAGACAAAAAGCCTGTTTTATTAAGTGGGAGGCCAGAAGGCTTTGGCTTTTACACCAGTTCCACAGCAGGCGCCCTGGGATGGAGAGCAAGTTCCGGGTTTCCCTGAGTCAGCTTTTTGTTCTTAGAGAGGGGGGCAAGATGGGTCCCCCCAATTCAGAAAGAATATGGCCACAGTCCCAGGTGAGACCGCAAGGATGGGTCTCATTCTCTTGGGAGAAACGGAAGATGGAAGGATGGAGGGAAGGCACGGAGAGAAATGGAGACCAGAGGGAGTCAGTTAAGAATTACCTTAGAGAGCTAGTCAAAGCAGCCACCCGCAGGGTCCTCTTAAATACTGTATCCTGCAGGTGGCAAGGAGGCCAACTAGGTAGCTGCGTCCTTGGGTATGAAACGTGGACTTTCTCAGGGCTAGGTCATTACCAGATTGAGGGAGATCCATGTCCTATTGCCAGAGGGAATGAGCTGGGACACTAGCGCTCCCAGACTAGGGTGTTTGGGATCCGCACCCTCCACCACCACCAGTCTTGTCTGGAACCTTCGCGGTTGTGCCATCCCTTTTTGGCCAGCACTGGGATATAGAATTGTGTCATGCCTTCTCCCCACCACGGCTTCTTGCCTGTGTTCCACGGAGGCTGCAGATACGAGGGCCTGCTGTGGAGTTAAGAGGGTTCTGGCTCCAGCCTCGCAAGTCTGTGTAAGAGTTGATGGTGAGGAGGCCTCGAGGAAGCTAGGAAGCGGCCCTGGATTAAACCTGTGAGTGGGCGGGCACCCTGGCATGCCGACCCTCCCCTCTCCCTCTTCTCCTCACTCACCCCTCCCCTTTCTTGGCTCTTGACATCACTGCCTTTGCCTGGTGGGTAGCTCCACCCTCCACAGGAGGCCCCGTGGGTTTGGATAGCTATGGCACGGAGGCGGAAGTAAAGGCCTGGGGTTGCCACACCACCTCTCTGTGTGGCTAGACCAAATGTGGTCCTTCGGCCCCACCCCTGTGATGGGGCTTCTTGCTTGCTACTGCCTTGCTTCTCCTCTGCCAACACCTGGGAGCCTTGCTTTCCTTGGAGATGGCCTGTGGAGTCACCCACCACGCTGGTGGAGCACAATCACCACACACTGCCAGGCCTGGCAGACACTGCCCCCTTCAGGGCTCTGCATGGGCGTGCTATGCTGTTGTGTGGGGCCAGAGGAAGACAGGCCCTATGCTCTGGCTGGCTATGACCCATCCTTGAGCCCCCCACACACACTCTGGGATGCGGTCCCCCCCCCCAGCTGTGGAGAGGGCCACGCCAGGCTCTCCGAGGGGTCATTTGCTGCCCCTGGTAGGTGAAAGGATTACCCCCGGTGTTGATTGTCCTTCTTTTGTAATCCTCCTGCTGTTCTCTTCTGTTGTGCTGTGCAACCTTTTGCTACATAGACTATTTTATAGCAGAAAGCTAGAAAAATATTTATTATGACTATTAAAGCAATAGTGCATCAACGAGCAGGCGGAGACATTAGGAATTGTGTAAACGCTTAGATTCACTTTGGGTGGATTCTTTTGTACTTTATTTACAATGAATAAAAATGAACTGCATTGCTAACTACACCTCATGAGTGCAGAGTGTTTATCTCGGTGCCTGCCTAAGGCACGTGGAAGGGAAATGCCAGAAGGACTTCTGCTGGCCACTGTGTCCCCAAAGGCTCATGTGTTGCTTGGTCCCCAGCTAGGTGCTTCTGAGAAGTGGGAACCTTTATGAGGTGGGGTTTGGTGGAAGGATGTTAGGTTACCGTGGCCAGGAACTCTAGTGGTGTCCTGGGAGTTTAACCTCCTGTTCTCTACTTGTAAGCCACCAGCAGGGACTTCCTCAACCACTCTCTCCTGTCATGGTGTTCTGCTCCCCAAAACTGGGAACCCAGATGAAGCTTTCCTTCTAGTATGGTGATTACCCCGGCATTTTGAAACAGCAAAAGAAAGCTGGCCAACAGTCCTTTGTCTCTCAGTAGAGTCAGCCACCTGTTTTCCGAACTTTATAGATTTTTTTTTTTTTAAGGGGGATGTTCCCGGTTTTGATCAACTTTCAAACAGCCTGTTGTATATTTGAACTGAGTCTGTTTACTTGTTCTGCAGCAAAACAGGCTTGATTTAAAGAGCTGGAGTGGGTTTCCACCCCGTCGGAAGAGCCCAAGCTCATGGGCCGGGGACTAAGTTCCAATGTATTGTCTCAGAGGCCTGAAAACTCACTTTGTCTTACAAGCTACAAACAGACCATAGTAAGCAATTACAAAAGAAAGAAAAAAAGAAAAAAAAAGCAATGGACATTTTTTAAAAGAGTGGGTTTAGACTCATAGAAAAAAAATGTAGATAAATTGCAGAGAATGTCTGTATGGACCCCCCACACACACACATGTACACCTGACAAACTTGCTCTGCTCTTAACACTGTTCATTAGTGCAATACGTGAGCCAATATTGACACATTATTATTAAAGCCCATAAGTTACATTATGTTAATGAGCCATTTAAATTCTTACTTCATGTTCAACCAGAGGAACCGAGTTCTGTCTGTGGGTTTTTATGCATTCCTTTTTCATTGGAACCATGAGTCAGGTTCTCGGACCTTATCTCAGCAGCCAGCTGCCATGCCCACTGTGTGAACACGGAACACAGGTATAATACTGCCTCTCCTGGGTGTTGTCAGTGTGGCTCATCAGCTAGGTCTAGCTCTCTAGGCCGGGTCTCTACAGACCCAGCTCCTTCTAGCTCCTGTTTATGGTTTCGGTGGAGCAGGGTTGGCAGGGTTGTGGGAGTTGGTGGGGATCGGGACCAGCTTCCCTTCTGGACTTGGCGTCCACTCTCCACCCGTTGAGCCTTCCGGGTCTTTCTTCTTAGCTCTCTCACTGCGCTGCCAGGAGGAAGGTGGGTTCTCCGGAAGCACAGGGTGAACTCTCTCCGGGCTCCAGGAGTTCTGGCCACTAGAATGATCCTCAGGCTAAGAAGGAGCAGAGCCGGTCCTCTCTCCTGGGCGTCCTTGGTGCCTCCAGGACACCTGCCTGCAGCGACACACCCTGCCACCAGCTTCTGCTGCCCCACCCACCCAGTCCCAGAACCACCTTCCATTCTCAAGCCTTCTCTTACCAGGTACTTTCCTGTCTCAGACATGGCAGGTTTGTGTCCTTGCCCACACATGCAGGGCACTGCCTTTGAACTGTGACTGGAGCTGCTTCCTTCATTCCATCTGATGGAAAAGCCCTTGCTGTGGGCTCCCCATGCATACCTGGTAGCTGTGCGACGCTGGGAAGGTTACTGAAACTTCCGATGCTTCCCTTTCTCCATCGGTTGAAATTGGAATAATTAATAGCATCTGTTTCATTGGTCTTTATTTTAGTCTTTTAAACTTCTAGCATGTTGAAAACAAGCACATCACATGAATACACGGAAAATGTCATGGATGACATAAAAACTCTGCGTATGTGTGTTACGCATGTGAGTCTACTCTTGCTATTGATGGCTGTGTTTTCTGAACAGCATAGCTTAGACAATCACAAACTAGGCTGGTCAGTTTGGGAATTATAGTCTAAAAACAGGAATGAATGCCCTTAGCTACATCTTGTTTGTGTGTTTGGTTTGGTTTTTGGGGGACAAGGTTTCTCTGTGTAGCCCTAGCTGTTTTGGAATTCGCTTTGTAGACTAGACTGGCCTCGAAAATCACAGAAATCTGTCCGTCTCTGCCTCCTGAGTGCTGGGATTAAAAATGAGCATCTCCATGCCTGGCTTGCTCACCTACCTTTTTTTCCATTCTTGGGAATGTCTTTTTTTTTTCTCTCTTTTAAAAAATTTTCTTGTTTTCACATCTTCCCTTCCCCCCTCTTCCCAGCTCCCCACCCTTGCCTCCCCTCCCCCACCCCATCCATCCACTCTTCTCCACTGTTTCTCTTCAGATTCAGGTGGGCATCCCATGATATCAGCCAGCCATGGGATGTCAGGCTGCCGTGAGACCAGGCACCCACTGCTCCACCAAAGTTTGATGAGGCAATCCAGTCAGAGGCAACAGAGTCAGAGACAGGTCCTGTTCTCACTGTTAGGAGTCTCACACGAAGACCAAGTTGCACAAATGTAACATATATGGAGAGTGCTTAGGTCAGGCCCATGCAGGTTCCCTGGTTGTTGGTTCAGTCTCTGAGAGCCTGTGCACCTAGGTTAGTTCATTTTGTGGGTTTTCTTCTGGTTCCCTTCACATCACTGGGTCCTGCAGTCTTCCCCCTCTTCTGCAAGAGTCCCTGAGTTCTGCTAATATTTGGATCTGTTTCCATCAGTTGCCGGGTGAAGCCTCTGGGTGACAGTTGGGCTAGGCACCGATCTATGAGGATAGCAGAATGGCTTTCGGGTGATCTAAACCAAGAGCCCAGACATGTTAGCAGGACTCTGGGCTCCAGTGGAGTGTTTACCTTAGATCTCCTGCGTTTGTGTTACCCACCTTACAGCATCATTACCATGCCTTTAACATAACATTGGATTCATTATACACATAAAAATATTGTCACCTTCACTAAATAAATGATTGTTGCCTTCATTTAAAGATAGACCTTAGTGCTTCAAAGCCTTAAAGCTTCAACCACCTACTTTCCCTACTTTTTGTCATTCAGATACAAGCCAGGTGCAAAGCTAACCAGAAACAAGCCCTAAATTAGCTCAGCTGTATCGCCCTGACGGTCCAAAGGCTTCGTCAGCGTTTCGGGAACTGGAGGATAACAGAATACTTGGAAGACGTTACTAACCTTTATTTACCACGAACCTGAATTTGTTTTCCCTGAAACAGAAAAATATCTGAAACTATGAAAATCACACCATGCCCTTTTTAAAGATCAAATCATGGGCAACGATTAGTAAGACATCGTTTTTGCAGTTTTAACGTGGACATGGGGATGACCCACTGAGCACAGCAATCATCGCCTAATATATTATGTAAAGAATGAACGCCAGAGAAAGGCCATCTAAACACTCCAAGCCTGTGAATCTGAGGGCAGCATGAGAAGCCATCCCGTGTCAGCCCTGAAGACAGATGAACGTCGTTACCTCTACTGACAAATGCGGCAGGGTCAGTGACACTCCATGTGCCTGGCAACTGGTAAGGAAGAGTAGACCCTGTCACAGCCAGACCAGAGTCAAAGGAAAAAAAGTACTAAGACTGGGGATGGGAGCCTGTGCCTTGGGCCATAGAGCTCACGATAGATGGCCCAGCTTATACACTTGAGGCAGGGAGGGTGTCACATGTCCAGTCACGCCTCCCACTTTCCATGTATCTGAAAATGACTTTGAACTTCTGCCCCCTCTGCCTCTGTCTCCCGAATGCTGAGGTGACAGGTGCACATCACCACACAGCTTATGTGTTGCTGGGGATCAAACCCAGGGCTTTTGGGAATGGTAGGGAAGTTCTCTATTGACTGAGCACACCTTTAAGCTCCTGCCCCGCCATTAACTGGTCAGCCTTTTCCCCCCAATGTCTTTAATTTTCAGTTGGAAACAAAATGGCAGAAGCTGAAGGAAACTGGGGAGAGTCTGTGAGATGTGTATTGGGAAAACCAGGGCCAACTGTCCAGTCCTTTGCAGTTTAGGGCCTGGGTTAAAAATATGAGGGGGAGGAAGCAGGCTAAAGAACAAGTTTTAAAACGGTAATGATAAGGTTATCCCAAGGACCTAGATTCAAAGTAGTTGCTTTAAAAAAAGTATTTCTTCAGTTTTGTGTTCAAATCTGATGTAGATACCTATAGTGTCTATTAAGAGACACACTGCACATAGCTTTAAGAAATCCCTTGGGCAGCATTTCAGTGCTTTGTAATGAGTCAGAGTCCAAATGGGCAGGTTTGATAGGAAGAGACAGAAGAAACCGAGGGAAGAGTTATCACTGCGTGTGCATCCTAAGAGCCACTGTTTCTGGATGACGTTGCCTTTGGAAGTCAGTGATGGAGCTTGTCTGACACAGTTTCCTTGGAGACAACGGCATTTCCACAATGTCCGATGCTCACACACATTGGAAGCACACATATGGTTACAATGCTAGGAAGTTCTGTGTTGGCACTTACGAACCTGGCCATGAAGGGTTCACGTGGCTTCTATTTGCTCGTCTTCAGTGAACAGAGATAGATTCCCACAGCAATCCTGATACTTAAGAAGAAAGTCCGTATCCACTGGGGCTGTCATGATCTTGGAAGGACACACACTGAAAGGCTCTGTGTCTCAGCAAGTTGCCTAGGGGGTTACTGTTAGCATCTCCAGGCCAAGCTGTCCACGCATTTCAAGTTTGTACATGTAACTAGGGGCATTTTGTGCTATCTGGTAAATAACCCACTGGAGGAATGCTGAATTTTTCAGTCTTTGGACCCTAAATTTCCTCCTGTCCCCTAGCACTGAGCTCAATAGGAAGGACTTTTCTTCAGTCAGATGGCGGGACACTAGGAATTGGGCAACTGTAGATGTTTCTGGAGAAATATCCATTGAAAGAGTAGAACCATAAGAATTTGAGTCCCAGATCAGTGTCAGAGAGTGTTTTGGAGGTTCTTCATGATAAACGGGACAAGTTTTCTGTAGGAGAGTAAATGTACGGCTTCC